ATAACATCAGCAAAGAATGATAGTTTGATCTCTTCTTTCCCTATTTACATACCTTTGATTTTATTCTCTTGCCTGATTGCTCTGCCTAGGACATCCAGCACTAGGTTGAACAGAAGTGGTGACAGTGAGCAACCTTGTCTGGTTCCGGTTCTAAGCAGGAATGCTTTCAATTTTCCCATTCAATATGATGTTGGCTGTGGATTTGTTGTATATGGCTTTTTATATAAATAATATTAAGGTATGTTCTGTCTATGCCTATTGTGTTAAGAGTTCTTATAAAAGGGTGCTGAATTTTGTCAAATCCCTTTTATGTGTCTATTGAGAGGATAATATAGTCTCTTTTTTTGCTTCCATTTATGTGGTGAATCACATTTATAGATTTGTGTATGTTGAACCATCCTTGTGTGTTTGTGATGAAGCCTCCCCCACATGCTCATGGTGGATTGTTTCTTCAATGTGTAGCTGAATTCAGTTTGCTAGGATTTTATTGAGAACTTGTGCATCTATATTCATAAGTAATATTAGTCTATAGTTTTCTTTTGTGTGTATGTGTGTCCTTTCCTGGCTTTGGTATCAAGGAGATATTGGCTTTGTAGAATGAGGTGGGGAGGATTCCTTCTATCTCGATGTTATGGAATAATTTCTGCAGCATAGGTACCAGTTCTTTTTATGTCTGGTAAAATTTGGCTGTGAAACCATCTGTTCCAGGATGTTTTTTGTTGGAAGATGTTTTTATTGCTGCTTCAATTTCATTACTAGATATTGGTCTGTTCAGGATTTCTATTTCTTCCTGATTGACCCTAGGGAGGTTGAGTGTTTCCAATAATTTATCCACTTCCTCAAGATTGTCAAGGTTATATGTCAAGAGCTTTTTATGGTATTCAGGGATATATTTTGTATTTCCATGTTATCAGTTGTAATATCTCCTTTTTCATTTCTGATTCAGTTACTTAGTGTCCTTTCTTTTCTATTTCTGGTTAATCTAGCAAGAGGCCTGTCAGCTTTGTTAATCTTTTCAAAGAACCAAGTTTTTGTTTCATTAATCTTCTCTATAATTCTTTTGTTGTTGATTTCATTTATTTCTGCTCTGATCCTAGTTATTTCTTTTCTTCTGCTGGGTTTTGGATTGGTATATTTTCCTTTTTCTAATTCATTGAGTTGATGCATTATTAATAGATTGTTCATTGTGATCTTTCTGTATTTTGCATGTAGGCATTTATAGATATGAATTTTCATCTTAGGACTATTTTTGCAGAATCCCACAGATTTTGATAACTTTAGTACCCTTTGTCATTTAATTTGAGGGATCTTTTTATTTCCATCTTAATTTCTCCTTGACCTATGACTCATTCAGTAGTAGGTTGTTTAGTTTCCATGACTTTGTGTAGAGTTCAGTGTTTCTCTTGGAATTGATTTATAATTTTATCTCATTGTTGTCTGAGAAGATAAATGGTATAATTTCTATTTACTTAAATTTTTTGAGACATGTTTTGTGTCCTAGGATGTGATTGATCATAGAGAATGGTCTGTGAAATGATGAGAAGAAGATATATTCAGTACTTTTGGTGCAGAATGTTCGGTAGATGTCTGCTAGGCCCATTTGTTCTAGAGTCACATTTAAGTCCATTGTTTCTTTGTTTATTTTCTTTCTGGAGGATATGTCCCATTCTGTCGGTGGGTTGTTGATATCTGTGACTATTATAATGATGCTGTTTAATCATTTTGTTTAGATCAAGTATGGTTTTCTTTATATATCTGGGTGCACCTGTGCTAGGTATATAAATACTCAGGATTGTATGTCTTCTTGTTGAATTTTTCCCTTAACCATTATATAGTGACCATTTTTGTCTTTGTTTACTTTTGTGTATTTGAAGTCTATGTTATCTGATATGAGAATAGCATCATCAGCTTTCTTTTGGTTTTTATTTGTATGGAATATTATTTTATAACCCTTCAACTTGAGTCTGAATGAATCCTTGTGGGTTAGATATGTTTCCTGGAAGCCACAGATACTTGACTTGTATTTTTTTTATCCTTTCAGCCAGCCTATTTATCTTGAGTGGATAGTTCAATCCATTCACATTTATTGAAAGAATTGATAAATGGGGCAATTTTCAGTTCATCCTGTTTCATAGAACTTTATTGTTTTGGTTTTTTTTGTTTTGTTTCATTTTTTTTTCTTTTCTTGAGCCATTGTGATATCTGTGCTTTGAACTTTAGCTTTTAGGTGATTTTACACTTTTGGATGTCTGTTGTGTTCATCTGTGTATAATGCAAATCTGAGTACTTTTTGCAGGGCAGTTCTAGTTATGACAAATTTCCTCAATGTTTGTTTGTCTGCAAAAGAATTAATTTCTCCATTAAATGTGAAACTTTGTTTTGCAGGATGCAAAATTCTAGGCTGGCAGTTGTTCTATTTAAGAAGATTGAAGTTGGAGACCAATCCTTTCTGACTTATAAGGTTTCCACTGAAAAGTCTGTTGTTGCCCTGATGGGCTTTCCCTTGTGGCTCAGTTGTTGTTTACGTCTAGCTGCTTATAGAATTTTCTTTTTCATTTTGACATTAGCCAAGTTGATTACTATGTATCTTGGAGATGTCCTATTTGCTATTAATCATCCTGGAGTTCAGTGACAATCTTGTATCTGGATGGCTGGCTCTCTGGAAATACTAGGGAAATTTTCCTCCATAATTCCCTCAAATAGATTTTCCATGGTTTTAGTGCTACTTCTACCACAGGAATACCTATGATTCATATATGTGTTCACTTCATGTAGATCCACCTCTCTCTAAGTGATTGCTCTGCCTTTATTGTTCTTTTCTCTGCCTCTTTAAGTAAGTGTTAGTGTGAGATTAGTGTTAGTGTGAGAAGGGTTACTGTGAGAGCCTTGTCTTCAAGTGCTGAGATTCTTTCTTCTCCTTGGTTTAATCTGTTGCTGAAACTTTCTACTATGTTTTGAAAATCCCTGAATGACTCTTTCATTTCTTAAGTTCTATTATATTTGTCCTACTTTTGTCTATCTTTTTATTGACTTTTTCATATTTCCCTAAATAATTTTGGGAATTCTTTTTTGTGGTTTACAATTTTCTCTTCAATTCCTTTCATCTCCTTTGCCATCCTTATTCTGAATTTCATTTCTGTCATTTTAACAGTTTCCTTGTAGTTGGAGTTCAGTACTGTAGCTCCATTGTGATACCTTGGGGGGTTGATCTCTTTTGATTTTTCAGGTTGCAAGGATTCTCTTCCTGGTTTCTTCTCATCTGATACCTCTTTTATCAACTCACAGCTAACAAGTTTACAGGGCTCCTGTTCTTTACTGGAAACTCCTGCTTAGTTAGAGTAAGGGGAGATCACTAGATGGCACTATTTTCCTACCCTACTATTGAATGTTGAGTTGGCAGAGGAGGGGGATGTGCGCTAGAAGTCTATAATGCAGCTATTCTGATTTGTTGTGTTCACCTGTAATTGCCTCTGCTCAAACAGCATCTGGATGCATTTGTTTTGGGTTTCCGGACTGTGTGCGCTTGCTCAAACCAGGCCCCAGTGTACCAGAAGCTTGAGGCTGGGGGTCCCTGGCAAGGCGTTGGACTTTGAAGCAATTTTTGAATTGCTGCTGTGGTGGTGGAGGCTTCGGGGTGGGATTTTAGTGTGCAGCTGGAGGCTTGCCAACGGTTTCTTGGGCCTGGGGTGGGGGGGGGCAGTTCTGGAGGAACAGAGTTAGAGCCTTGGGCTCCGGTGTGAGATTCTCAGAGTTGGGACTAAGGAGGACCTGGAAGCAGAGCTTGTAAGCAGGGTCAAGGAGCCGGAAGCATGGCTGGGCAGATGTTGGGGTTGATCAGACCTGGATGGTGGGTCAAGACTGACTAGGCAGAAGGGAACTGGGAGCTGGAGGGCAGAATTGGGACCGAGAAAGTGGCAGGTTGTTTCACAGGTCAGAGGCCACAACAGATGGCCGATCAGATGGGCAGATGTTGGTTCCAGTGGCCTGGATAATGCGGAGCTCTCCACTCCCTACCAAGGACTTGCAGAAGTGGTTGCCCAACGCCTCTCAGGTTGGAGCCTGCTGTTCCCCAGTCAATTCCCATGTCTGGTTCCCGTTGCACTCTAGGGGAGAAGTGCTAGTGTTCAAGTCATGGGGGAATGGCTCAGGGAAGCCACAAGTCAGTTCACTCCCTCCCCATACTGGTGCAGACCTGGCACAGTTCACCCAAGAGCTCAGAATGGCTTTAGCTGCTGCGCAGTCCCCACTGCACCTGTTTTCTGGTTCAGTGGTTCTGCATAGAATACAGATAGGTCCATGGTCTGACCTAGCAGACATTTCTGGGGGTAGTAGGAGCCATCTTGCAATTCAGTTCACGCTGTGCCAGCAGGGCAATCGTGGTGTCCCAGCACTCTATTTCTTATTGTTTGTGTCCCCATGTGTTCTATGATCTTGTCATATGCATCATCCTATCTCTTTTTTTCCCCACTCTGAGTGTTCTGTATTGATTTCTCTGTGATCTCATGATGCTGCTTCAGAGAGAAGTGATCTGTATGCAGGCAGCTGCCTGCACCTTTTACTTCTTTCCTTGGGAGTGGCATGTCATCAGGTTGCTTCTAGTGTGCCATTTTTTCAACCTCATTGTGATTTAGATTTCTGTTTCCATAATGACTGATGATGTTGAACATCTTTTCATGTATTTATTGACCATTTGTATATCTTACTAAGAGAAATGTCTATTGATATTTTGTCTATTTTTAAGCTGTATTATTTACCTTTCCATTATTGAGTTGTATGTGTTCTTTACATACTCTAGATACAACTTTCTTATCCTCATATAATTATTCTAATAATATATATATATATATATAAACACATATATATAAAAATGTATTTCCAGTTCTGTGGATTATCTTTTTACTTTACTGATGGTATTGTTTGTAGCATCTCATGCAATTTTTTAAAACTTTCACTTATGGCACTCATCAACTACAGCATTAAAATTATTGAAAATGTCTTACCCGAACTATTTCACAGTCAACATTTAATTCAGTTGCAACAGCTTCAATTTTCTCTCTACAAACAGAGCCCAGGCTGGTCATGCCATTGTCCCAATACTTCTTAAGGGTAGCTAAGTCTCGGTCACTGAACTGAGTGCGGTCCTGTAGCTGAAAAGCACATTTTTAAAAATTAGAATCATCAAAGAAATAATGACATGGAGAGAATCATCAGGGAGAGATGTGCTAGGTCATTGTCAACACATAATAGCAGCAAAATTCATTTCATAATTCTTACTCTATGTTCTCCCATTTTGAAAATAATCATTTTTATTGTTTTTATTTCAATAAACTAATACAGTATGCTAGCATGAAATGAGTAGAATTTTTTTAACTGATAGCAATTAAGCACGGTTGACTTTAAGTGGTTTTAATTACACAAATAATACATGTTCATCGTAGGAAATATATATAAAGAAATAAGAAAATAACTTAAATCACTCAGAACTTGGAAATAAGACCTTTTGACATTTTAATGTATATTCTTTCAACCTTCTTTTCTATATTTCAGATATTTGCATTCACTCACATACTACACACACACAAAAGAAAAAAACAGAGATAGAATTACACCAGTGTGCTGCCTTTTGATAAATTAATCTAGACTTGCCATATAAATCTAGACATTGGGTTCCTACTAATGTTATAATTAATTAAAATGGTAAATAAGAGAAATGTAAGAAGATAATGTAGCCCTAAAAATCATCACATTTATGGCTTTAGAAAGTTTAATAATACACCTACCCTTTTTGTTCTTAAGCTTTTTTTAAACAATAAACTATGGGCTTTATATATTTTTAATTCAATGAATCCTGGAGGCATCCTTGAGAAGTAAATTAGAAATGTGATATGATAATGACCTCTGTTTGCTGATAAGACACCAGGAAAAAAAGGCCAAAGGTCTCATTAAATAGGTCACAGAGAGTCCATGGCAGAGTTAGAAATGGAAATATTTGGGATTTTTTCTGGTCACCTTATCCATATAATGTCTCAGTTAATCATGGCAGGAGGTATAAGATTTTGTTGCTGCCCTGTGCCTAATATGATAAGGTCTGATCCCATACAGAGGCTAGAATTCAAATACTTCCTAGACATACATTTCTTTCAACATTTCCTCTCTAACTGCAATTTAAAACAAAACCCTCTCTTAAATCAGATTCTGATAACGATGGAAAATAATATATCTAACATATAAAACATGACCTAATAAAAAGTGATAACCATAGCTAAAAGTGATTTAATACTAAATTTGTTTATTCTAAAGCTAAAACTTTTGGAAAGTAATTTTAACCAACATAAAGAGAAGCAACAACATATGAATTCTTGGTTTACTACCAAGAGAGTGAAGTTAGACTGAATAATTAAAGCATGTTTCTTCGTAAGATGTATAATACTTTTGCTGTGTGTGTGCTAATATATTTCATTGTCAGTTAATCTGTTTCCCCTAATTTAAAAACCCTGATGAGTAGCATTTATTATAAGAACTAATATTGAATAACATGTTCCTAATTCATCCAAGCTTTTTTTTTCAATTGAGAAGAATAACCTTCAAGTTATTTACAACATACAAATCACATTAGGTGTTCATCCTACATTGATTACATAATAGTTGTGAAGCTAAAATTCTCAAAATAAAACAGAGAGCAAAATAAATGGTAGTAAGGTTCTAGGTATATTCAAATAATTCATCATAATAGCTAGCATAAATATTTCTGTAATTTTTCATTGCAACAAGTTCTCCAGTGCAAGCTAACCTACATTACTGTCAGAATGGAAGGAATAATGAACAGAACACAGAACACACTCATCCAATTAATTTTAATTCATTTAGAGGACATCCAAAGCTGACTCATCCTTTAAATTGAACTAAATAAACCCTGATTTGAGTTGCTAGAAATGTGCTGGGGTCTTAGCATTAGCAATGCTAACAGCTACCTATTATGACAACACCTATTATGTAGAAGAATATAGGGGAAGAGCAGTTATGTTCACAGCTCCTAACTGCATCTTTTAACTAAAAAAATAAAGAAAGAAATAAAAATCAATTAGCATCGATATGGTGAATACCCATTTAGAGAAGGAAAAAAATGCACACTTAAAGGAGAAGGGAGATTCTTCCCCAAAGACGCCTGAATTTGAAGTCAGTTTGTCTTTCTATTGGACTCTCGAGCCACTTTCACTGAATAAGACATCCAAAAGCCTAAAAACCTCTGGCTCAGGTGAAAGAGACAGGTAATTATCTTGTTTGTTTTGTGAAAAGAGTAGCATTCCAGTAACCCAGGAAATTTAGGTGAAAGCTGAAGATTAGCCTAAGTAACCAGATAATTGTGCTGACTTCACTTGGTTGAAATTGCAATTCAATAGATGGAAATCTTCAGGACTTTTAATCAACTTCCAGGACACTTCTAAGAATTTGGTTCTTTGATTTTCTTTTAAAGATAACATTAAGTGACAAAACACTGAAATAGGGGTGGGTTTTCCCATTTTAAGTACGTATATTTGTTAAATGTGGAATTGAACTACATGTTTGCACTTAGATGAAGCTCCTTTGAAAGAAAAATTATTATTATTTTTTATTACTTCATATTACAGGGGTACAGATATTGTTAGGGTTACATATCTTACCCCTGCCCCCCTACCCACCCCGCTATGCCAGAGATTCTAGCATGTCCAGCCTCCAAGTGGTGCGCACTGCACCCACCGTGTAAGTACATACCCTTCCCCTCCTCCCCCCTTCCCCCTGCCCACGTCCAGATTACAGATTTTTTTCCAGACATTTTGGTTACAATGTATATCTTTACCTCTCCCTAAAAAGTGATAGAGGTAATCCCTTATCCCCTACAATGCTCGCCACTTCCTTAAGATGTGGGTCTCCTTCCCCCAAATCACTGTTGAACGCTACCGTTTTTTGAGCACCATAGTTTTAGTCAGTCAGTACCAATTTGATGGCCAGTAGATGTGTAGCCCATTTTCCAGATCATGTGTCGTCTCACTTTGTATTACAGGCTTAAGCTTAATCCAGGATAGCATAAAAGTTGCTAGCTCACTGTTGTTTCTTAGGATTGAGTAATATTCCATTGTGAGCATATACCACATTTTAGTTATCCACTTATGAATTGACGGGCACTTGGGTAGTTTCCATGACCATGCAATAGTGAATTGTGCTGCCATAAGCATTCGGGTGCAGATGTCTTTATAATAGAGAGACTTATGTTCTTTTGGGTAGATGCCCAACAATGCTATTGCTGGGTCAAATGGTATTTCTATTTCTAGCTGTCTGAGGTATCTCCAAATTCTTTTCTACAAAGGTTGCACTAATTTGCAGTCCCACCAGCAGTGTAAGAGTGTTCCTGTCTCTCCATATCCTCGCCAGCATTTGTTGTTTTGGGATTTCTTAATACAGGCCATTCTCACTGGGATTAGGTGGTATCTCATTGTGGTTGTGATTTGCATTTCTCTAATGATTAGAGATGTTGAACATTTTTTTATATGCTTGCATGCCATTAATCTGTCTTCTTTGGAGAAGTTTCTGTTCATTTCCATTGCCCATTTCTTGATGGGGTTGTTTGATTTTTTTCTTGTTTATTCTTTTAAGTTCTAGGTAGATTCTTGTTATTAGACTTTTATCAGAATTGTAGAGAGTGAATATTTTCTCCCACTCTGTGGGTTGTCTATTTGCTCTAATGATTGTTTCCTTGGCAGTGCAGAAAGTGTTTAATTTGATCAGATCCCATTATTAATAATTTCTTTTTTTATTTCAACATATTATGGGGGTACAAATTTTAAGGTTGCATGTAATGCCCTTGCCCCTCCTTCTCCCACAAGTCTGAGCTTCAAGCGTGATCACCCCCCAGATGGTGCACATCTCACTCATTATGTATGTATATACCCATCCCCTTCTCTCCCCTCCCACCTGCCCAATACCCAATAAATGCAATTCCTATGTGTCCACTTAGATGCTGATCAGTTCATTACAATTTGCTGGTGAGTATATGTGGTGCTTGCTTTTCCATTCTTGGGATACTTCACTTAGTAGTATGAGTTCCAGCTCTATCCAGGAAGATACAAGATGTACTATATCACCATTGTTTCTTAAAACTGAACAGTACTCCATGGTATACATATACCACATTTTATTAATCCACTCATGTATTGATGGGCACTTAGGTTGTTTCCACAGCTTTGGAATTATGAATTTTGCTGCTATGAACATTCACATGCAGGTGTCTTTATTGTAGATTGTCCTTTGTTCTTTTGGGTAGATTCCCAGTAGTGAGATTGCTGGATCAAACGGTAGATCTACTTGTATCACTTTAAAGTATCTCCATATTGCTTTCCACAGAGCTTGAACTAGTTTGCAGTCCCACCAGCAGTGTAGGAGTGTTCCTACCTCTCCTCATCCATGCCAACATTGATTGCTTTGAGACTTTTTGATAAGGGCAATTCTTACTGGAGATAAATGATATCTCATTGTGGTTTTGATTTGCATTTCTCTGATGATTAGAGATGTTGAACATTTTTTCATATATTCCTTAGACATTATTCTGTCTTCTTTTGAAAAGTTTCTGTTCATGTCATTTGCCCACTTTTTGATATGGTTGTTTGATTTTTTCTTGCTAATTTTCATAAGTTCTAAGTAGATTCTAGTTATCAGCCCCTTCTCAGATGTGTAGGATACAAAAATTTTCTCCCATTCTGTAGGTTGTCTGTTTGTTTTCATGACTGTTTATTTGGCTGTGCAGAAGCTATTTAATTTGATCAGGTCCCATTTATTCATTTTTGTTGCTGCTGTGATTGCCTTTGGGGTCTTCCTCATAAATTCTTTGCCTAGGCCAATGTCTAGGAGAATGTTTCCAACATTTTCGTCTAGAGTTCTAATAGAGTTTCCTCTATAGTTCTAATACCTTACATTTAAGTCTGTTACCTAGTGCGAGTTGATTTTTGTGAGAGGTGAAAGGTGTGGATCCTACTTCAGGCTTCTACAAGTGGCTATGCAGTTTTCCCAGTACCATTTATTGAATAAGGATTCTTTTCTTCAGTGAATGCTTTTGTCTGCTTTGTTGAAGATTAGATGGTTATATGAGGATGATTTTATATCAGGGTTCTCAGTT